GATTTTTCATAAGAATGCGTTGGTCATTGGGCACTACCTAAAACCTGAAGACAACATTTTGCTGATCATCATTCACTATATGTTTGGTTTAGTGTACAGCCTGAAGGCTACAATTTGCTGGGCATTGAAAATCACTCCAATCTCTGTACATACTTTTTGGATTGCTTTCAAAGGGCTCTGCGAACAATACACTGGTATTCCAGTCTATACGTTTCTCTCAACGTTTAAAGATGCTAATTTGCCACCCATTTACACCCCAAACATCGCCATGCATCTCGGGAAGAATTCCACTTTCGTGTTCCGATAAAAAAAGGATTGACCATTGTTTTCCTTAACCACGTTTGCAAATACATATTATTTTTGAACAGCAGTACTAGACTGTATTCTCATATCAGAACTGTTATAATTAAAAACTGCAAACAGCTGGGGTGTATCCTACATCGAGGACGAAGTGTTGCAACATAACTAGCCAAATGCGCAACTGTTTGCTGTAGTATTCAATTTTGTATGGAAGTTTCCTGAATTTCAGTTCCTTAAACTCATAGGTGCTTGTTTTCCTGCAAAATTTGGGTTATTTTTTTGTCTCTCTCGTAAAGCAAATCGGTCAATTGCTCCATTTTCTAAAAAGATTGCTTTATTTTATTCGATGTTATTGAGAGTGTGGGGAGTCGTTTTGAATCTCAGCACAGTTTAAACTGCGGACGTACATTGTGGTACATGTGAACACAGTATCTACTGAGCTGCATGAAAGGTCCCCCGAGAGGTTAAGTCTAAAACTAAACACAACGAATAAAAAACTAATGTTGCAAAACTTTGATAAACCGCGCGTGGTTTATATTTTTCCTGACTGAATTGGACAGAAAAGTTGTCATTTGTGGATTATAAAGTTACCCGTATACAAATTAGTCCTCCAATTATCCTTCACCATTTTTGGACAACTGTTTAAACCTTGAGTCGAAATTTCAAAGTAGTCTCGCACTTCTACACAATACCATGCTGAACCATTTGGTAATCTTGTTGCATGGATGCCTCGCAAAGTTGGGAAGCGATGTAACTTTCATCTAGTTTCAGGTCTCGCATATGGATTTTATGCGTCCAGAAAAACTGCCCATCTAGCTCTTATGGCAAGAAATCTTGGAGAGGCCTACGCAACCCACTGCACTTTATCCCCCCCCTCTGTTCTGCCAAATTTTCTATCTGTACCTATAAGCTTTACTTCTAAGCAGTTTTAGTCCCTGCTTAGCGACAGCTAAGGTGGCCAGGATGTTGGCTCTTTGTAATGCTATGCTTAATAAGGTTTTACTTGGCCCGGTCAACTGCTGTTTTGGCCAGCAGGCGACTTCTTGAAGGTTTTTACTCCTCCGTGAGAACACAATTTTTTTTCGCCAAACACCCTGCCTTTTACC